GAAACATGTATATTATCTAGGGTGAAACAGATCACCAGCCCAGGTTGGGTGCATGAGACAAGTGCTCGGGCCTGGTGCACTGGGAAGACCCAGAGGGATCGGGTGGAGAGGGAGGTGGGAGGGGGAACCGGGATGGGGAATACATGCAAATCCATGGCTAATTCATGTCAATGTATGACAAAAACCACTGCAATGTTGTGAAGTAATTAGCCTCCAACTACTAAAAATAAATGGAGAAAAAAAAGTATTCTCAATAAAAGTGTGTTAAATCAATGAATTCTTTCTTGTTCCATTTCATATATATTTCCCTCTCATGACTTTATGTAAAGGTCTGGATAAGAAGTAGATCCGGAGCCTATTTCTCTGGAAACTGTAAAGTTAAGAGGACAAAATGTTGTGCCTGGAAACCCCTTCTCTGAAGTTCAGCATCTATGCTGAAACACAAGGCTGCTTCTCAATGTCAGCGTAGTTTGGATCCTCCAGACAAGAGGGGACTATTTCACTCTTACTGATATAATTTCCAGCAGCAAAGCTTTTTGATAGATGATGAATTTTAAAAATGAAATTTCGCAGTGAGTCAGGAAGCAGGAAGCAGTCTGAGAAAGTGGTTGATATGCCCTTTTGCAGTTGTTTTACAACCTTGGAAGACACACTACTTCCTGTTAACTGTCTGTTTTTCCAGCCTGATGACTTGGAGGGCAGATTTTTAAATCCCTTGGACTCTCTTATCTATAAGAATGGACTCATTGTACTACTTCCCAAAACTGGGTTTGAATACTAAGAAGCAGGGACCTTTTGCCCCATTGCAAATGAGAAAGCAAGAAGGTTCACCACCAGTTCTACTGGAACCATCTGAGAAAATTTGGCAAAAGCTGTCTTGTTGTATCTGCTCATACCCACACAGTCTGATCCAGAAATATTGCCTCAATATGTGCCTCTAGTGTTCTATCAGGATGCAAGGTACATAGGCTTCATTAAGCCGGACTCTGTGATCTTCCTTGAATGTGTCATCTAAGACATCATACCTTACTGCAGAAAGAATGCTAACTCTTTGTAAGTTTAAAAAAAAAAAAAAGGCAGAAAATAGAACTTTCGTAAGCATCCAGCTATCTCTACCACAGAGCCTAAATTCAAACTTTTGTAATATTACTAAATTCCAAGAATTTCCTGGTGATCCAGTGATTGAAACTCATGCTTTCACTGATGTGGGCCCAGGTTAGATCCCTGCTTGGGGAAAGAAAAAAATATATATAGATAGATAGATAGGCTTTCCTGTATAAAATATATATATAGGCTTCCCTGATTGCTTAGTGGTAAAGAGCCAATGTAGGAGATGCAAGAGATGAGGGTTCAATACCTGGGTTGGGAAGATCCCCTGGAGTAGGAAATAGCAACCCACTCCAGTATTCTTGCCTGGGAAATCCTTTGGACAGAGGAGACTGGTGGGTTATAGTCCATAGTGTTTCAAAGAGTCCAACACGCCTGGGCACACACACATGTGTATGTTGTGTTGTTGGTTGTTTAGTCACCAAGTTCTGTCTGACTCTTTGTGACCCCATGGATTGTAGCCCACCAGTCTCCTCTGTCCAAAGGATTTCCCAGGCAAGAATACTGGAATGGGTTACCATTTCCTTCTCCAGGGAATCGATCTTCCCAACCCAGGGACTGAACCATGTCTCCTGCATTGACAGGCAGATCCTTTACTGCTGAGCCACCAGGGAAGCCCATATGTGTGTATGTATGCATATGTGTGTGTGTGTGTATACACATATATACATATATATAATTAAATTCCATCAGCAAAGCCATATTGAAGTCCTTTAAGCTTTAATCATTGTCCCAAGAGGCAAACAAATTGTCTTGGGAGCCTCTAGGCCACAGATAGGACCACTTTGTCCCAAAAACCACTATTAGAAACAGTATCCACAGACCAGCCAGACTCTAACCTCAGGGAATAAGAATCCTGCTGGTAGCGAAGAAAGAAATACATATGAAAATACAAATTTAGCTCAAATAAGGCTCAGAGGGTTCATGAGCCTTCTCAGCAACACCCCAAATAAGAATTTTTCTGAAAATGGAAAATATGCTAATCCATCACCAGAACACTGCTCTGGAAAATGTGAAAATTATATTATTTGATAATGAATCTGAGACCTGAATTTCAAAGGTGCTAAAAAAGGTGGAGAGGGTCTGGTTTTCTGTTCATTTTGCTCTGTTGTAAAATATATTCGCCTCCATGTGCCCTGTACATGCAAACAGACGTTAGCCAAAAGCCACAGAAATGTTTTAATTAATGCATGTCTTCATCTCTTCACACGTTCAAACCTTTTATTTCTCTACTCAGTAAATCTTTTATGACAAAAAGTAAGTCTATTACCATATGTAAGACATAAAGAAGGTGTATATAATAAATACTGATTTGTACATACATACATATGCATAAATGATTCAATTAGGGAAACAGAGTGATACAAAGTGAGAATTACGCTGGGATTTTTTTTTTCCCCCACAATCCAATATAGTTTCAGTTTTCAAACCTCCTCATTGGTTTCTGCCCAGCAACTGATGAGAAACAGCCCTCTGAGCCAATCAGAAACTAATTCTTTCACAGACAGACTCTGTTACTCTTTGTCATTGAGCATGCATCTCTCTTTTTCCTTTCTTCCAGAGAAAAGAGACTCTTATTTATAATGAGGAACTATCGATTATCTTTACTCTGTGGGCTGTAATTTTCAGATGGGGTTGCCAAGAGGTAAGTGTGGGGAAAATAGGTAAAATCCAGGGATGCGAGCCCTGAAAAGAAGGAGGCTGAAGAGCTGAGAGTGGGCCTTGCCCAAAGAAAGTGATTGGGGCTTGAGTGAGCTGTAGTCAGGGGATGAGAGGGTGACGACAGCAGGGCAATGCAAAGGCTAAAGACCTGAATTTGAGCATTTGTGGGAGAGTCACAATATGAATGAAAAAAGCTTGCTGACTGCATGTTCTTAGGAGATTACTGTGATCAGAAAGGAGC